TCTTCCTGTCTTCACAGGCTACACCTGTCAACATGCTCCCAGGTGGGTGGGGTAGGCACCACTGAAAGGTTACTCTGGCCACTGGAAGAATAGATTTGAAGACAGAACATTAACTGAAAAAAACTTTTCCCAATCCTTCCGAAGCCAAACAGGATCAAATTCCTTTAGATAAATCTTGTGATGACTTTGGTAGGTTTGGTGAAAAAGAAATATAAATTCTAAAGTAATGTATTCAAGGTCACTCTCAATATGGGATTTATTTAAAGGACTATTTTCACTAACAAGGAATACTCAAAAGCCTGAATTAAATGGATTCAAGCATTCAGATGTCAATTTTGATGGTTCAGTGCCATTTTGTTCTGTTTATGCTTATTGTTTATTTTCACCCTGAGGAAAAAAGGTAAACAATAAAAAGTAAGGTAGAGCATAGAAAGGACTGAGATCAGGAAATGGTGACCAAAGCAGATAAAGAAGGTGATTACAACTATGGGCTTATAGCTAGGCAGATGTGGGATGGATCCTCACCCACACTGGTATTAGCTGAGTGGGCTCAGGTGAATTACTCACTATGTCTATCCTCATCTGTAAAATGAGGATACTAATAGGACCTCTTCGCAGAATTGTGTGGATTAATATATTAAAGACATAGTAAGTGCTCACCACCACCAACAGAGCAATAATTCTAACCTTTATAAGGTCCTTGCTCTGCGTCAAGCACTGTCTTTACTTGAAAGACTTGATGAAGTAGGTTAATACCTACTTATTATCCTCACTTTACAGATGAGGAAACTGGGAACTCAGAGAAATTATGTAACTTAACCAGGGCCACAGAGCTACTAAATAATCAGTCCAGGATTTTAATCCAAGTGAACTGGCATTGAACCTGAACCCTTAACTTCTATGTAACCATTATTATCAACATCCTTTTTCACGTGCAATGAGTCTTCGTTATTCCAGGTGGTGTCCTCAGCTTATGTCACCTTTAAATCAACCTCTTGTGTTGTTTATGGCTGCATATGCAGTGTTATACACTGAGCAGAGGTGTCAGATGATAATCTCTCTGTCTCTCCTCTCCTCTCTTTCTCGAACACACATTTGGTTACATTTGCTGGGCTCTACTTCCTAAGTCAGAAGAGTAACTGATGTATTTCAAAAATATCTTCTCCAGTACAAAAAAAGAAAGGGGTTTCTAATGAACTTTTACTTTTTATTTAAACCAAGAATTTCTTACTTAAAAATCTCTTGTTCCTTTTAACATTCTAGTTAACTGAAATTTTCAATATCATAAAATAAATACACATGGCTGAAATTACAGAGTCAAATAGCTTTAATTCCAAAAGATAAAAATGCTCTAATTTATCTGGTTTTTAAAAAAGTGTTTTTAAGTCAGTTGTTGGTGAAAGTCCAAGTAACATTTTCATTGTCATGAAAAATGAAATTTGAAGAATAGAAAGAGTGGGAGGGTATGACATCAGAAAGAGAAATATAAAACAGGGCCAGAAGTTTGTCACAGTAATGCATTTGAATAATTAAGAAATTAAATGTCATAGGATATGTTTGCAAATTTATAGTAATATGCTGCTGTCATCAAATACATTCTACATTTTATTTTTATATTCTACTTCACCATGTATGGCCTCATTTGATTTGCCCAAGAAAAATAGTATTTAATACCAAGTGAGGCCAGCAGGTGAAATAGTATCAATTCATTTTACGTAGGAAGAAACTGAGGCTCCAAGAGCCAGTGACTTGCCCGAGGTCACAGAGCGGGTTCCCTGCAGGGCCAGAACATATCATCTCCTAGTATTTCTCCTAAATTACAATTCCCAGTAGCCCTTTTGCTGAGCTTAGTTTGACAGTTTACTTAGACTAAAAAGGCTTTCCCCCAAGGGCTGGGAACAGGAATGATTTGGCAGGGGGAATCCAGAAAAAGAGGTAGTAATGTCTATGGGTACCCCTCCCAAACCACCTCAGAAGGCCCTGGGCAGTGTTGGAGGAAGAGAGGTCATTGGCAGGAGAGGGAGAAGTTCCAAAGGGCAAATTTCCCAATTTCCCCACATCTGGCTGTGCTGATCCCGCATTTTATTTTGTGTTAAAACTACTGGCTCTCCAGTCAAACTCCAGGGATTGAATCCTGGCTCCAACATTTACTAACCTCTTTTTGCCTCATTTCCTTGTTGTTAGAACGGGATTCGTAATAGTACTGATTTTATAGGATTGGCGTGAGGCTTCAACGAGAAACCATGTGAAAGGTTTAGCAGTATAACTGACTCATGGTGAGTACTTAATAAGAACCAACTATTACCATCATCATTATTTCACGCAGAGATATTAAGTGGCAGAGCTGGGATTTTCACCTAGCCAACCAAACTCCAAAGTCCAATTTCTTAACCACTATCCCGTGCTGCCTTTGTCATTGTCCTTTCTGTCTGTCCATCTGGAAAGCACTTTCTCTAGACACCCACTGTCGTGGCTCCCTTCCTCTCTCCATTCAGGCCCCTGCTCAGATGCCACTTCCTCTGAAGGACCTTCCCTGGCTGCTGATCTGAAACAGTGCTCCTTGTAACGCTCTCTGTCTTAAGTCTGCTTCCCTTTTTTCCATAGCACTCATAGCAACCTGATATAATACTGCACATTTACTTGATTATTCATGGATTGCTTTCTCCACCATTAGAAGTGTTAGGTTAGGCCGGAATTAGATAAAAATAGCCAGGAGGAACCCGAGGCAGGTACCAGGCTGTCTCAGCAAGGAAGATAGAAAAGTAAAGAAAGTACAAGGAGTGCTGAACGAGATAAACCGCCTGTGCATGACCTTGTCTTTGCATGACCTTGTCTTTGCAGAAAAGTATCCATTGTAGTAAGCAGAGAGCATAGCCATGTGTGTGTGTGTTCTCTCAAGATAGCCAATTGCTAACAGCTACGACTGCTTCTGTATTTGCTTGCTTGCTTGTTTGTTCACCCCAATAAAAACCCCAGGCTATAAGCGCCAGGCGCGACTCTCATCTGCAGCCATTTTGGCACCGTGTCTCTGGACACCCCGAGAGTTCGCCCCTGCGCAGGTAGAACTTTGAAACTTTGGCCAATAAAGTTCCATCTTAAACTCCTGAAAGCTTCCGACATTTGTTGCTCGCATTGGTGGATGCTACAAAAGCAAGTTCCATGAACGTAAGAGCTTGGTTGGGCTGACATTCGTACCCTTGTTGGCTAGAACACATTCAGTCATTTGCAGTATAAATGCATAAATTAATGAGGAAAAAACTTATTAGCAGCAACTAACATATTGAACCACTATCAACAGAGTAGCTACAATGTGGATAAGATCTAATTCCTGCTCTTAAGGAACTTGTACTTTAGCTGAAAAGGTCAATAGACACTCACCTAACCATCACGATGCAATGTCCCACAGTTGGAGTGGGGCCAAACATCTGGGCCTTCACACCATGAGTCTTATCTTGTTGCTAAGGTGCCTACTTCTCCAGCACATCGGTCTGACAGTCTTACCTTCCCTGATGAAATATTCTAGACACAAATCTCATAAAATCAAAGGATAGACTTTGAGAAAGCCATTTTAAGAGGGTTTACATGCTCAATTGTACTCTATGAAATCAGACACATCATTTTCTTGGAGGTGACATTCCCCGAGAGTCACAGAGAAAGTACATTGAGTTCTGCTCGAAGAACATTTCTTCTCAGTATAATCTACTCCCAAGAGTAAACTGGGAACTAGCTGCTTTACAACTGCTAAAAATCTTGGAGAGTGAAAAGTAAAATAGGCACTCAGCCTCATTCAACCCAAACTACTGAACTCTGTGTCCCATGAGTAAGTCATTAATCAATCCTATTAAGTTGTAATTCTTTGCCAAGCTAAGAAAACACAACCCAAACAGTAGCAAACATTTTCTTCCCTTGCCATTTACCCCTAAATATGAAGAGCAGCCTCTAAAAACTCCAGTCTTCCTGAGATTAGCAGGTCTGCAAAATGTCCATTGGATTTGCCCAGAGAGAAAATGTGCCAGATTCGATGAAGTGTGAGAACACTGCTTGATTCTGACCATTCCCACTCAAAACGATTTTCATAGCCCAGATAAAGAAGTGCAGAGCTACACAGGATGGCATGACTCAAATAAAACAAATCACGTACATGACTCTCCGCTGAGCCATGTTCTAAGCTGCCCGTGGCGGATAGTTGTTAGCTAACACAGAGCAGACCCTAGGCTCCTGAAGAGCAAATCCTTTCATGACAAATGTGTGTGTGTGTGTTGATAAATGGTGACCACAGGAAAATGGCATGATGTAATGAAAACGTCGACGGTTACCGCTGAGGAAGACTACACTGTACTTCATCAGAGAAGCTCACCTTGATTAGGCGTGATGGACCAAAGGGATAAATAGCCACCGGGGGAGTCAAATCCACATTCATAAAAACAAGGCCATAGCAAAGTGCTCCGTGTGGCTTATTTAAAGGGCAGCACAATGAAACACAATTTATCAAGTGTCTGGGATATGCAGTATTATGGGTTAGGGGTTAAAGACATAAAGAGGAACGAGACACATTGAGGAAGAGGAAAGTACTAACTTAAATGTGACCTCATTTAATTTGGCTCTTGTTAGAATCTTGTAGGGTAGACAGAGAAGGTTCTGTAAATCCCATTTTACAGATAAGGAAGCTAAGGCTCAAAGTATAATGTGCTCAAGCTCTGTGTGAGGCTTGTGTGAGGTCTCCAGCTGCAACTGAACCCTGAGTCCTGGACTCTTAGTACATTACCGTGTAGTTGGCTGCATTTTTAGACAACTGGACAAAAAAGAGAAGAAGAAAGAAAAGAGAGCCTTCCTTCAAATCTAATCCTCAGGTGTGTTAGAATCTTCCTGACAACTCTAAACTTTTAATCATTTTAATAGATCATTGTAAACATATTTAACTTTCTTTCATAAAACCATTATATAACCACATAAACAAAATAGCCAGATGATCTCAAAACAAAACCTCTGCTTCTACTTACAGTACAATTCAGGATCCCAGGATGGCGGACTGGGTCTGAGGTGCACAGGGAGATCAGAGAGGGCCCTGAGACGCCGGTGTGGCTCCGGGTTGGTCCTAAATAGTTGTAAGTGGCCCAGAATAAGTACATTTACTCTCTGGTTTGGGTCTGTCTTTCAGCACCTTCACCTGGCTTCTTGCAGTGAGCTTTCGTTGTGCCTTTGTCTCCCAGGACATTTCCCGATATTTCTGATCACTGGGAGCTGTGCCTTCATCCCAGTCATGATCCTCGCAGCTCTTCTATCTCTCCTCTGTTTCTAATGAGGCCGGTTTCCTACCTTACATTATTGTTATCCATGTGTGATTCAATGTCACTTCCGAACTTAAAAGCCCTTGAAAGAGTGTCTGTAATCGAATATTATGTCTTCACTAACCAGCACAAAGTTTTCAATGTGGTAGGTATCTGGCTTGTTGAGTCAATAAATGACTCTTTCCCTGGTTTCACCTCTGTGGCTTTTCCGAGGATTTCTGCTTGACTTCAGTCCAGTCTTCCTTATAGAAGTTCCCCTTTCACCAGTTGTCTTTTATTTCTGTAGCTCAGTGGTATTTATTTGTTTATTTTAAACATTTCTAGAGCTCATGTTGAGGGAAAGTTCATAAAATTTCCAATTCTCTCAAAAATGTCACAGAAGATCCAGTCGAACCAGGATTGTCACGGATGAAGAACAATTATCGATACCCATCAGGATCCGAAGGAGATCCTTTCCTTTCCTTGGAGTCTCGCAATGCCCCAGTGTCCATGGTTTTTTATTTACCTCAGTTCTTTGGATCTACTGGCAGATTAGAAACTCCTGGCAAAACACACCTTAAGGAGAGAGTTGGGAGTTGAGTCGGAGATCACATTTAATCTCCTCACTTTGCACTTGAAAAATGAAAGCCCCAAATGGTGATGTAATTTGCAGAAACTCACCCAGCACCTTAGCAAAAGGCCTAGGACTAGAACCCAGGGGTGCTGCCTACCCAGCCTCTGAGGCCTTTTTTTAATTCCACCATTCCGAACTGTCTCCCCTAAAGAAAATAAGTTGTACTGATATAGTACCTGTTTTTATTGAATTGGTCTGGTTCCTTGAATCCCCTTCCTGTTCTTGAACCCATCCAGAGCGTTAGGCCACTGGGCTAAGAGCCTCAGTCCCCACGGCTCCAAGAGGCCACCATCGAGCAAGAAGGCACTTCACTTGTCTCGCCTCCTTGGGCAGTGCTGTCTCCCCTTCTTACACAGGGGATCCTTGTTTAAGTCTGTCAGCGGAGAACCCTTCAAGGACTGGCAGAGCAAAGACATCGTGTCTAGGCTTATGTTGGCCAGGTAGAAACTAATCTACAACCCGTGGGTCAGGTGATGATATTACACCAGCATGCCTTGATTTAAGAATCAGAGAGTTTTATTAAAGTCCCTTGTGATTGGATCACCATCTTTGCTGCCTCATTGACTAGTCCTACCTTTTCTTTGTATTCTTTTCTCTTTCTCGTAGTTACTATCATATTTGTTTTCAGAAATGATAATTTTGTGGGATACTACTTTAATTTAAAAGAAAGAAACAAAAAACATTATATAAAAAAAATGAACTTAGAGCTAGCTATAATAGAAAGAGCCCCAACTCTAAAACCTTAAGACTGGAGTTCAAATCAGCCTCCCACCAGCGGTGTGACTTTTGCCAGCGACTGAACTTCCCTGAGCCCCAGTGTGTCCTTGTGTAGAACACAGACAATAATTCTATGACGCGGAGTTTGAGGGAATGGGAACGAAAAGCCACTGAATGGGTCCAGCGTGGCGCCGGTTGCGGACACAGGCTCTTATTACATGTTGACTGAATGTGAACGCAAAGGATTTTCAGGAACATAAGAGCAACTTTGTTTATCGGTTTCTTTCTGCAGCTCTGTTTTTTCTTCTAACTTCGGCACTTTCCATCGTGTGTTTTAGAAATGCCTAATTAATTTTTAAAAGCCAAATTTAAATGAAATGGGAAGAAATCATGGTGCATATTACTAAACTACTTATTACATATGTAGCTCTTAACAGCCTAGTGAAGGGAAGTATTTCTTCAAGTGAAGTAGATTAAATAGCTGTTAAATTCAGGCAACATTGCTCTTAGGAGGCCCGCAGTAAGGCTTTGGATGCCATCCAGAGAAAAACAGTAACAGCATGAAAACAAAATGTTTCAGAGTGTACTAGAAAATAAAATACCTGCACTAAATGGAACAGTAAAGAGGTCCTGCATTTTTCCCACTTTTTTTTGGAGATCAAAATGGCAGTCTGAACAATTTTTTAAACCAGGGAAAGCAACATTAATGTTTCTTATGAGTCCTTTTTTTTCTTTTCTTTTCTTTCTTTCTTTCTTTCTTTCTTTCTTTCTTTCTTTCTTTCTTTCTTTCTTTCTTTTTGTTGATCCCTCAACATTAATGTTCTTAAAAACAATTCCTAAATAATATTAAAATTAATAAGTTATCAGCAAGGACATCGCCACAATCGACTATTTTCTTACCACAGTTTGCCTTCCACTTGTATGTAGATTTCATGTAATATGCCATTGTGTTTTGAATTCAACAAACTCCCCTTTATAGTACATTGTGAACATTTTTCATTTCATTCAGTGGCTTGCACAATCAAGTTCATCATGTTGCTGAGCCTACGTTTAATGAACTCTTCTCCTAGACATTTATTTGAAAGTGCAATTAAATTCAGTAGTTAAGGGTTTTTCCATTTTTCCTATAGTTTTCATGTCAGAATTCCCTTCATTCCTGGCCCCAGCAGCCATTTCGGTTACGCCGAATATGACAAGGACGTGTCAGACAAAGAGGTGGAGAAGACAGTCACGCCCTTAAAACTGCTCTCACTGGGCTGGGGAGACAGCAAGGAGCCGGAGAGGCACACACGTAAACAAACAAAAAAGTTGTTTTAATGTCTGTCTTCAGTTATTGGGCTGGATGGTTATTTGGTTCCCTTCTGTGGATTTATTTCCCCAGTCACTTTTTATAATTCTGTATTCCTTTGGCCAGGTAGAGAGAGCGTAAAAATAGGTACAGGAAAGAATTCCGGACATATTTTAATATGTGTCCAAGTATATCTGCATTGATTTATATCCTGTCTTATTATAAAAAGGGCTTAAGGCAGCTTGCTTTGGGGATTTTCTGAAGGATTTAAAGTCTTTAACAACGCAATTTTTTCTGGTTTTTTTTTCTGTTCCTAGAGCATTTCCATAACTTATAACAGTTCGATTATATTTCTTAGAGTCTTATCTCATATTACAGCTATATAATATTTCAATTCCTTTTTATTTTATTCTCTAAAGAAGTCAGTTTGATGTGAACAGTTTCACATTAACATTCAAGGGTTACTACAAAGGTTTTACATTTGTCTTTTGTTATATCTCTTGGGTAATTATGACCTGGATGAAGTATTACTTGTTCAACCTTCTAAGGTCACAGAGCAGTCTTTTCTAGTTTACGTCTGTGTTAATGCTGAGAAGTCATGGGTTAAGTTATGAAAAAGTTCAATGCCGAAGATTTCTGAATGCAGGGCTTCCCAGTGACAGGCAACTAGCTGTGCTGTAGAGTCCCAGCTGTATGGGACTGCGAATGTCCCCTTGTTTGTTGCCACGAGAAATCACTCCATCACCATGTTTGCTAAATAACTGCACAGTTTTTTATTTGTGGTTTTTTTTGTCTGTTTGTTTTTGTATTTACTATGTGTCAAACTACTGTATTCTGTGCAGTAGCAGGGAGGCCTTTTGGAAATGGGAGGGAAAAGACCTGATTTCTAGCAAATACAAATCTTTGCATTTGTATGGACATTTAGGGTTGAAGAAGGTTTTCTGCATGTGGCCCTCATAGCAACACAGTGAGATAGATGGGACAGGAATGATTATTCCCGTATTATAGGAATGAATCAGAAACTCAGATTTTGTGACTCACTCAAATGCCTCAGCACTAGAAAATGGAATAAATGGGCTCAAACCCAAATATTCTTGTTCTTAATCCAACCTCTGTTCCACCATTCACAGCTCTAATGAAGACATTTACTAAGTAATCTCCCCTTCGAGGGTTTTCTGCAATGCCTAGTTGCAAATTAGTCCGACAGCAAGCCAAGTGGAGGGGAAATGTGTGTACTTGCACAACGATGTCCTCCTTTGATGTGCCTTCACTTCCCATGGAATGGGCCCAACTTCTCTCCCCCACTAAAGAGCTCATTTTATTAGCTGAGATGGTACTTAGCAAAGAGTGAGACTTCTCAAAGCAGCTAACAGATCGGGCTTCCTAAACCACATCTTGAAAGGACAAGAAACACTTGCCCTCCCTGGCTGGTGCTTAATCTTCAACAAACGCATGTGGCTTTTCTCCTGAGTTCCCATATTTCCTCCCTTTACTCAGCCAAAGTCCACATTCCTCTCCCTGTCACCACACACAGTTTGACCTTAGGCCAGGGTGGCACCTTCCTCCATTCTTTTGAGATCACAGCCAGGGCTGTTCCTTGGACGCCCTGGCAGTGGGCATTTGTGGACAACTGACCAAGGCTGCAGCAGCAGCCCCTACCCTTCACCTGACAATGGCCTTGTGTTCTCCCTGGCACCCTAGAAGGAAGAACCATTCTGCTCAGCCCAGGCCTCCCACCAAGCATGTTACTTGGGACCCACAATCGAAACAGGATGGTGGTTAAGCGCCAGAGGTTACTCGACCACCATTACCTTCTCCTCGCTCCCTAGCTGCTTAATTCAGCCACAGGTGTCAGGACCTCACCCCAGAGAGGTTTGGGATTGTTGAGAAAAATATGTGAATTTCTTCTAAGTCTTTCTCCACAGCCCCTCCCCCCACCCATTCTGCTTTGAAAAGATCTGAATGCTGAGCTCCAGTCAAAGAGATATTTTTGCATCTAGTTTGGAAAGGGGTGGTGGGGACTCCTTGCTCAAATATCTGAGAACATAATTATTATGAAAACCTAGGATGAACCACTATGAGGAAGATTGCTGCCCCCCTCAGCCAGATCGGAGAACAGCAGTACCGTGGACTGGACAGAGGACTGAGTTCCTTGCTGGTGTCCTGTGCACAGTGGCTCTGAGGAGAGTCTGGCTGATGCTGTGGGTCGGTGTACCGAATGAAAACCCACGAAGGAGGGCCTAGCCATTTTATACTCAGCAGGTGCTGTGAGAGGCGACTGCTACGGGGGACTGTTCCCCAGACAACTTCCAGGTCTTGACAGTTGCCCTTAAATAACTTAAACCATGTTATACCCTACATGTCCACATCATCCCCACCGATCTACTGTCATTTTTATGAGGCTGCCACTACTATCAACACTTCTTAGACGCCCTCTCACCTTGACACTCACACATTTATTCTTTTTTTTTTCATTCATTCAGCACCAGACCCTGTGCTAGGCGATAGGAATAGGGAAGACCCAGTGTCCTCAAGCCATCTGTGGGCATCTAGAACTGGGCCTGGGCGGACAGCAACCTCTGTTCCCACACTTTCCCTGTCAATTTCCTTCCATTTCTTATCCTTCCCTTCAGTTCCCTTCTGAGCCCTGTCCACTGCTACATGGGACATTGGGATAACCATATAAATAAGCCAAGCAACTATATTAACCAGGTAACATGTATCTTCTCTCATGTAAATGCACACTCTTGGGTCCCCAGGAAGGCTATTCAAGAATGATGCTAAATCTAAGATCTCCAGGCAATTTGATAGACATACAGTGGATAAAGGGGCTGGGGTGTTGGATGTCTGTCCCTCAACCAAACATTGCAGTCAGTGGCTGCCTTTTAATTCATGCAAATGGCAGCTCTGGCCAACAGGTTAGAACACAAAGAAAGCTCACATTTTCTTAAGCAGAACTGTTTGGTATGAATAGCTTTTTACATTTTCCATTATTAATGAAAGTGTGTGTAAAAACATATAATCAAGTCTTTAAAATCAAGTAGGCCACAATAATAGCATCGGGAAGAGAAAATAAATAATGTTAATGCTGAGGCAGAATACCTCCTGTAGATGTTGAGAACATAAAGGAAAATAGATACCTGAGCCATATCCACTCATTATTAGAACAAACTTTGTTGTCCACAGAGATTATTTGCCCAGGGCTTCCTAACATTCAGATGAGGCAGACCCCAAAGTATGATACAGCCAAGGGACTGAAAAAGTGTTGGGGATTCCCTCGTCTATCTCTTTTAAAAGCCAAACCAATCTAGACCAATTATATATACCTTAGTATTAAAATTTTCTAAGCAAATTAATGGGTTGTTACGTAGTCCCACTGCAGTAATTAAAATATATGCATCATCAAAAAAAGTTTCTGAACCTCTAATTTAAAGCTCCAGATTAAATTTAAACCTGTGTTCTGTGGAGAAAGGGAAGTTAGAGGAGGTGCCATAGAGATGGAGAGCATAGATTAATTAACCTCTTCTTTGTAATAGCACTTGTATTTTTGAAGTCTGTGTCCAATTTCATCCGTAAACACTTCTTTTTCGTTATAAGCAATTCCAGATTCAAATGAGTTGTTCAAATGAGCCATAGTCTTTTTAACTCTCCATTAAATGTACTAGTAATAACTCATAGTGGTATGGTAAATTACAGTCACAGAGTGCCTTCGTAGGCATTCTCTGTTGTCCTGTTTATTCAAGAGAAAATGATGAGTGATTTGAATATTTGTGGGCAGCACTTAATTTTTTCATTAACTTCTCCCATTAAGAGTCACAAGTTTTAAATTTAACCAGAAGCCCTTGGTTTATATTTCTAATATCTGAAAAGGACGTGAAAATTTAAGATAATGACAACTGTGTTCCTAGAAATATCCTCTAGTTGCCCACATATCTCGAACATGGTTCATTACATAGAAGAGCACTTTTGCAGAAGGTATCTCTCCCATTTGTCACCTGTTCTGGAGTTTCTATTTCCCAGAGTCTGGAAGAGAAAGGATCTCTCTCAACCACACCCATTCCTGACTGAAAATTTAATGTCCTAGAGATCCAAGTGGATCTCTTATCTACATTGTCACCAGGGTGACAGGCCAGCATTGTCAGGTGAAATAAAAGTATTCATAACACAAAAATAATAGTACTTCTTCCTGAGCTGGTTCAGTAAAATGAAAGAGATAGTCTCAGACAACTTACTTTACCCCTTAGGAGCAAGTCATTCTCGAGCCCACTGTTACTTAAGAGATGGGTAGGTTGTGGTACAAACAGTTAAAAGTCTTACTGCTACCCATCAATATTACCCTACTTTTGTCTGTATCTAATCATCATTTTAAAAAATGGGTCATATGAAAATTTAATAAAATGAAAGATGGGAGGGACAGAATTATTCCTAAGGAGCAAGGATTAAGAACCTGTATTCTTTGAGTTTCAAATAGTCATGAGTCTTAGAAATCCACTTTCAGCTAGGAATCCAATCATGTGATTATCTAATATTTTTTAAATGAAACTTTCTGTCCAATTATTCTTTTCAGAGAATTCAGTTTGGTGCTTTACCAACAGAGACCAAGTATGTTAAAGTCAATGAAAAAGCATTTCCAATATGCAATGCCATTCTGTTTTCTTGTAAAATACAAGAACCTTTTAGTTTCACTGTAACAGCACATTTTACTAAAGTAAGTTGGACCAACATTTCTGATGACCAAATTAAAACAGTATATATATGTACAGTTTGAGTTTCCTTTAAGAAATATAGTCAATGAAAATAATTGGACACACACATTAAAATACATGTAAAAGATGTTCATCACCTCGTTGTTTATAAAAGTAAAAATTAGGAAAACTAATGTTCCTCAGTGAAAAAACTGATGGTACATTCATGAATTACAATACTGTATAACTACTAAAAATGATAAAATATACCTATATCTATGGACAGTGAAATATGTATGTGCGTGTATACATGTGTGTATACATATATGATTCATATGCATTCAGGATACCTATAGTTGCATAAACAAACGTATGAGGCCATTTTTTTCAAAAAGCAGTTTGCATAACATGTAAGAGAGTGTGTGCATAGGAGAAGCCTTCAAAGAAATGTGCCAAACTGTTAACAGCAGTTGTACCTGGGGTTGTACACGAGCATTTGTGCCTAGGTAACGAGGTGTTGTACCTGGGATCACAGGTGAATTTATTCTACTTTCTATGATATGTATGTTTTAGTAAGTATTATATACCCTTCATAGTTTTAGAAGCTATTTTCACTTTGAGAGGAAAAGGTAGCTTTTAGCAATAGCAAATGTTTTATCAGCGTTTTGTTCTCCTTAACACCAGTTGTGTGAGGAAAAATTCTCTGCACAAAATACAGTAAATTGTGTTTATCAAAAGTGATCAAAGAATGGGGCATAGTCATTCATTAAGAGTAACTATTAACTGTATGGACTCTGTGTGCGCGCCAGCCAAGGGCACATCAAAAGGAGCACCACACAGTGGCTCTCATCCAAGCCTTTGTGACCTTCTGTTTTTAATGACTGGACCAAAACCAGAAACAAGCATCTCTGGATTCAGCAGTCATCACTAACCCACACTGCTTGGTCATAAACATACCCAGTTCCTCCTCCCGTTCTCACCGGGGAATGTACACTCTCACAGATGGAGAAGGGCTAGAAGGACTCTAGCCAGTGGTAAGCATGCTAGGTTTCACAAAGTTGCTGACCTGGCTCGTCAGCCAAGGGGAGAGGGGCTGAGGACTCCTCCTCCATCTTCTTCATCCTGGATGATGCATAAAGCCTCTTTGGAAAGATGGGCTCCATGGCAACACCCCCACCACCACCAAGCTCTGAGACACACCCTCATTTTACAAACAGGGAGACTGATGCCTAGAGAGACTAAGTTATTTATGCACCAGCATGGCAATGCCAGAATGCAGGTTTCCTGACTCTTGCTTTGTTAGTTACTGTTTCCATAGCACCGTCTAGGCTCCTTGAGTAAAGCAGCTCTATGAGACAAGCAAAAAATCAGACCCAGTGAAAGAGTGACCTCGTCCCGCATCGGAGGCATTCGTTTGCTGGCTGGAAAGTAATTAACAGTGTTTCAAATTATTAAGGCCCTTATGGAAGGCAGCAAACTAAAATATAAAACTTTAAAAAATATCTAATGCAAGACCTCTGAACAACCATTGTGTTCACTGTCACAAGAGATTTTCATCTCAGTATTTAGTGGCTGGCAGGAGATGACTCAGTGCCACGGAATTTAATTTTAAATTGTTTTCAAAGAAATTCACAGGGTCCAATAGGGTGAAACTTTGGAAGGTGACAGGGTGGCTTTGGAGATGTGACAGTTTCAAAGGCCATATATCAAAGGTTACCTCTGACGGTGGTGGGCATTTATCATGTTCTCAGCCCCAGCTGTTTCTAAACCATCCCAAACCGGGCTTCCCTGGGCAGGAAAATTCAGTCTGGAATTCTTGCCATCTTTGCCTGCCCCGGGACCTCAAAATATCTAACCCAATGTACCTCGAAACTGTTCAACCATTTCTTTCTGGGGACTGTCATTAAATCCCCATTTTCTGGACAGAGATGCAGAGGGTGCAACCATTGGTCAAGGTCACCCAGTGAGTCAGCGGCAAAGCTGGGAACGCAACCCAGACTTTCTGACTCCCTCGCCCGCCCTCCGACCATCAAACCACACACTCCCGACCAGGAGGAAACAAGCTCCTCTGTCTCAACATTCAGGGGCAGCTGAGTGAAAATGCAATGTATCCATTTCCCTTTCAAATACTCACATGTCACTGATTTCATCAGCTCGTGGGCCAATTGCTCCAGATCATTTTTCACTCTAAAAACTTATTTTTTAATTAATTTTTCAAAGAAACAGTACCTTAATTTGGAAAAACAAGAAAAACTACTCCCCCCCACCATCGTATCACATTGTGTAACACTGGCGTGTGGTCACTTCAAAAACCCACAGAAGCTGCTCTCTCTGCCTCCCCGAGGGCCGGCTCCGGTGCCAGCCTCTCCACGTGGCCTCCCTTGTACTGGGGCCAGCGGCCCGCGGTTCCAGGCAAAGGCACGTCTCAAGGACAAGCCAGGCCTTGACGTGGCCATTCCTTCTACTGCTCTTATGAATGCTCCTTGACCACAGAGGACCCCGGGCTCCCGCCAGCTACACCCCACATGCCACTTGAAATGTCGCCAGAGCTGACCATCCTACAGGGCGTCTGCCAGAGTCCAGAGCAACTTAACCGGGGACGAGGGAAAAGCAATACAACCAGCTTCCCTGCCAGAGAGTATGGTCTCCTGCCAAGGACCAGGGCAGGGGGTGGGGCAGGATTTGAGGGGGAGGAAGGCTTTTAACACTCTGAGCAGGGGACTGGCCCATGGGTAAACGCCCCCTCTTTTTCTCGCAGCCCATAAAGTTGGTTCTCCCAGCATTTTGTACCTGTCGTGCTCGATCGTAAATGTTTTTTTTTGCTCCAAATGAACTAAACTGTTTACTCCCGTAGACCTGTTGCCATATTAGCGACGACTTTCCAAACTCTGGATCCGGGTGTTGGGCCTGCGGCTCCCAGCCGCTCTCCTTCTGTTGGCAGCTGGGCGTCCTGCTCAGTGATGGCTCTTCGGGGGGGGGGGGGGGGGGGGGGCCCTGAGCAGCAGAGAAACCGAGGGAGGAAGAGGGGTGTCATCAAGGTGCTCCCCAGGCTCCGCTCTGCCGTGCGCGTTTGCTAAACCTTCTCAGTCCAGGCCAAGCATACTGCGGGCAAGGAGATTCCCCCAGGTCTCCCCAAAATTTAGTACTGCCCCCTGCTGGGGAAGTGCCACACCTGCCTCTGTGCCCAGCCTCTGTCCTCTGTGAGAGACTTGGGGGCTAAGGCTAGTCCTCTACATTTCAGAACAGAGTCTCCACTGACGTGTGGAGTGGCCTCAAACCAGTTCCCCTAAAGGCGTTAAAATTTCAAACACTCGGAAAACTGATTCTGCCTGCCTTTCCCACCACACAGAGCACCGAACCTCACTGTTCTGTGTTCCAGCTGCTCCTATAGGAGCCGTCAAGCTCTGTGTTCCCATGAGAAGTAAGTTTGCTTAACGTGACAGCACTGGCGGTACTCCAGGGAGAGTGACGACATAACTTTGTTTACTGTTCACTCCAAGTTCTAAAGAAGTAAACTTCATTAACTTTTCTGATAAAATACAAAGACTCCATTGTTTGCCTTACCCATAAAATTAAAAAAGAAAAAAATAACTTTGATGTCCCCAAGAAGGCAGGGGCTTGGGGGGATTTGTTTTTGAAGTTTCTATTGCTTGACCCAGGTGATCCAGAGGGCTGATACCGCTCTGGCTGGCCTCTGACCTGTGATGGAGAGGCCCGGGTCAGCTCTGGGCGGCACTCAGCGTTGGCCGGCCGGCCTGCCCCTCCCTCCGTGCGCGCCGATGGTCTGCCTGGCGGCTGGACGAGCCGAGCAAGGAGCTGTTACAGACCAGGCTAACCTTGTGTATAGAGATACACATTTATATATGGATACACACACACACACACATTTATACATAGATATATAAATATATATTTATCCATAGATATATTGAAATATACATTTATACTTAGGTACATATAGATATACATTTATACATAGGTGGGCATAGATATACATATACAGGGTGGGGCAAAATTTGATTAGCATTTATTCATATGGAAAATAATAAAATAATAAATAATAATCTAAGAATAAAAACTGTGTTTCACATACAACTGTAACACATACTTTTGCCCCACCCTGTACATATACATGTATACATAGGTATACATGTACATACACACATTTATGCACAGGTATATAGATACACAAATTTATATATAGGAGTATATGTAAATATACATTTATACACACACACACACACACGATACATTTTTCACTCACAGGGTAACACATCTCTCTTTCAAAGCAGTCACTGGACCAGAAAATAAAAGACAACCGGCCCAGAGAGACCGAGGCTGCCCACAGGGGACCTGGGAGGACAGAGCAGCCTGACCCCCCGCCTTCCAAATCTGGTAGCAGCGCTCACGGGCCCGGTGTAGTCTCGTGTCTTTTCTTCATCCGTAGGGTGCAAATCTGCTCTTGGGATAAATATCATAAGGAAAATTGTCTGGAAAAATAATTTTTAGAAAACTGCTTTCAGTTTTCAAAAATTAGCTAGAAAACCAAACCACACCCCCAAATTAGATATTGGAGCAGATCACCTTATTCTTTATGACCTTGTTTATTTCTGCTGAAAGGAAACGTTTGTGTACACGACTGGGCCAGCGAGCCGGGCCCAGCCGCGGCTGCACACGGGGATTGAACCGCTTTCAAAGGGAGAAGCAGGCAAGACAGCCCAAGAAAAGGAGTTTAAGGCCTTTTGCATTCATTAAAATTTATTTGGAGCATGATAAATCTTGCATATATGTCAAACAGTCATCTTTTCTGCTTTATTTTAAAAGCAGCATTTGAAGATCTGAGAGTAAACAACGATGTGAACGTTTCCTTCACAGAACTTTCTTGTTCTCCTCCCACCCCCTCCCCACCTAATGAAACGGTGTTTATGGTTTAATATAGAGTTAGAAAGAAATGATGTGAGCAGGAAGGCATAAAGATTTTAAAATCTACAGACTCTAGGAATAAACTGCATTTGGAGGTTGAACTTTTAAAAAAAGCAAGATATTTAAAATTCAATTTTCTGAATTGAATTTAAAAAAATACATACATATATAGATATAGATATATGTATATACACACACATATATAGAAGTGTATAATTCAGTCGTAGTAAGTACATTCACAATATTGTATAACTATCACCACTTCTAGCCATGCCCCAAATTACCATCTCCAGTAAAAACTCTGTACCTATCAGCCCTGGCCAGGTGGCTCACTTGGTTGGAGCATCATCTCTTACATGAAAAGGTTGCAGCCTTGATTCCTAGGTTTGTTTCACGTTTGACTTCCGATCGGGGCACATACGGGAAGCAACATCTCTCTCTCTCTCTCTCTCTTTCTAAGATGAATAAACATCTTCCATATGAGGTTTAAACAATAGCTGCACCCATTCCCTCCTTCCCCCAGCCCCTGGTAATCCCTATTCTACTTTCTTTCTCTTTGAGCACCACTATTTTGGGTATCATATAAATTGGACTCAGAAAAATATTTGTTCTTTTGCATCTGATTTATTTCACCAAACAAAATGTTTGCCAGGTCCACCGACGCTGTAGGATGCATCAAAATTTTATTTCAAAAAAAGGTAAACTTTTACCTGGGAAGAATCAGAATTTTGGTCTGTATTATTCTTCTTTTCAGCCTTTGCTCTCTGGAGCTTGTTACCCCTTCATCGAGGAAAACAGAGGTCCCCAGTCTCACCTGGCTTCGCTCCGCTCACAGTGCTCCGAGCTCTTGGAAGTCTTTCCCTGTTGCTTGAGCACCTCGAAGATATTCTGGGTATTCTTTTTTAGCTCAAGTTGTCTAGTATGGTGAACTAATAAACTCCTGTCTTAGAACCAAAGGAGTACAAATCTTACATTGAGTCACTTATGGTCATTTCTAAAGCATTTTTTTTTTTGCCCTCCATGACGTGAAGACTTCTTGTACCTTTCCTGCAGTTAAATCAGGGAGAGGTACATGTGTAGGCCATGGGCATTTACCAAAACCCATGATTACAACTCCTCCTTATCGCCTTTTAGTCTAATATTTCTCCATTTTAATGAGCTTAATGCTGCCTTTTTTACAAATATTTTGTTTATCCCCCTTTAAAATCTTAAAATAAAATTAATAGGCAATATAACCTATGTACTCCATTGCCTCTTAAAGTCAAAATAATATGTTAAGCCTGATAGAAATTAGAAATAAAAGGAAAATGATTTGTAATAAAATATTTTGTGTTCCAGTAATGCATATCTCCATTTGTTTGGGAATAACTACATGGAAAGACACAGTGAAGCACTCAGAAGCTGGTATTTAGGTGGAGAATCACCTCTGAATTCTGTAACTACAAATATAAATCCAGACAAATGTGTTATATAGACAGCTAAATCCCTTGAGCGATCTGGATGCCTTTTGTTTTCTTTTTCTTGTCTGATTGCTGTGACTAGAAAGGGGTTAATATCCAAAAAATATAAGGACCTCATATAACCTAACACCCACCCAAAAAATAACCAAATAACCTGGTTAAAAAATGGACAGAGGACATGAATAGACACTTTCCCAAAGAGGACATAGCGATGGCCAATAGGCATAGGAAGAGATGCTCAACATCACTAATCATCAGGGACATGCAAATCAAAACCACCACGAGATATCACGTCCCACTTGTCCGAGTGGCTGTCACAAATAAACACACAAATGGTGGCGAGGATGAGGAGAAAATGGAGCCCCTTGTACTGTCAGTGGGATTGCAAATTGGTGCAGACACTGGGGAAAAAGGTATTGAGGTTTCTCAAAAAAAAAAAAAAAAAGGACTGCCATATGACCTACCAATTGTACTTCTGAATATTTATCCAAAGAAATCCAAAACACTAATTTGAAAAGATCTATGGGACCCTCTGTTCACTGCAGTGGTATTTACGATAGCCAAGATATGAAAGCAGCCTGTGTTCACCAATAGACAAATGTATAAAGAAGAGGTAGTACATACATACAAGGGAATATTACTCAGCCATAAAAAGGAATGGAATATTTCTCAGTCATAAAAAGGAAATGAAATCTTATTATTTGCAACAACATGGATGGACCTAGGAAGCAACTATGGTTATTAAAGTAAGTAAGTCAGTCAGACAGAGAAAGTCATATACCAGATGATTTTACTGAAATGTGGAAACTAATAAAGAACAAAACAAAATAAGCAAAAAAACCAGAAGCAAACTGATAGATACAGAAAACAAATTGATGGTCACCAGATGGTAGTAAGGTGGTTGGGGAAATGGATGAAAAATATAAAAGGGATTAAGAAGTACAAATGGCCAATTATAAAAACAGTCATGGGGATATAAAATACAGCATAGGGAATGTAATCAATAATATTGTAATAACTATGTA